GATGGAGGACGAATGTAAAATGTGACTTAATATTTTATTGAGGTTCTTGTATGCTTAGGTCTCATCAATATCGATATAATCACTTATATATAATTTATTATACATCTACTATGCAAATAAATATACATATAGTATAATATAATAGTGTTGACGATAATGGACTTTTACTATCTAGTCTTCCCGAGCCATAAGGAAGACTAGTTGGTCAATTCCTAGGGGGTATGGCATTGAACAGTGTCAATGCACCATCTCCATGGTCTCCACCTCTTCAATTAATCCAATTCCAACATGTATCTTATACTAGTTGGCACGCAGGCCTAAATGAAATTGGACTCGCAGGCCCACAGTAACAATAATAATAATGGACTCGCAGGTCCAAAATAATAACAATAATAACGGGCTCGCACGCCCAAAATAATTAAGAGCTCGCAGGCCCATAAAACGACACAATTAAAATTAACCATTCAACACATCCATATGGTCGAGTCCATAATCGTCCACTAATAATACATTCATCACATAAATGTATACCTATATAATATCTAATATTATATGCAAATAAGTTTCAAGTTTCTAGCAATTAAGTCGTCTAAACTCTTTTAGACAAATGGATCGGATTAATTAAATAATTAATTAATCATATTAATCGATTATTTAATTAGCGGGAATATTTAATTAAAATCAAATTTTAATTAAATAACAAATTAGAGTCCAACTCTAATTCAACAATTATATGACGAGATTATTTAATTAAAATCAAATCTTAATTAAATATCAAATTAAAGTCAAACTCTAATTTCTCAATTATATGGCGGAACTATTTAATTAAAATCACATTTCAATTAAATATCAAATTAAAGTCCAACTCTAATTTCATAACTCAAGGCGGTTGAATTTAATTAAAACCAATTTTAATTAAATAACAAAATTAGAGTCTACTTCTAATTCCAATAATTAAGGGCAAATGAATTTAATTAAAATCAAATTTTAATTAAATGGTAAATTTAGAGTCCAACTCTAAATCTAAGATTTTAGGGCGAACATGTTTAATGAAAATCAAATTTTAATTAAACATCAAATTATAGTCTAACTCTAATTTAGAGAAAAGTTTGGGGCGAAACAATTTAATTAAAATCAAATTTTAATTAAATATCAAATTAGAATCTAATTCTAATTTCTAAAATATCTTTGGGTGAATAATTTAAATAAAATCAAATTTTAATTAAACATTAAATTAGAATCCAATTCTAACTTAAATTGAATTAAGATTTTAATTTAGGATAAAACTCCTAAATAAAATAAAATTCAATTTAGGGTCAAAGTTTAATATTTAAGTCAAAATCTAATTTTAACAAAAATATAAAAATGTCGTCAATTTTAAATAAAATTTTAATTTGGGTCAAAATCAAAATTATGGGTCGAACCCAATTAAAATTAATTTTAAAACCATTTCAAAATTGAAATTCAAAACCATTTTGAAAACTTGCAAATTGACCCAAGTTTGAAATTAACATCGGACCCTTCCAAAATTTAAAATTGCAGAACAAGTCCCCTTTTAAAAAATTGCAAACTGACCCCTTTTACATAATTGCATTCGGGCCCCCACAATTAGACTAATTGCAGAGTAGCCCCCGCCTCCAAACACAATCTGAACAGCCAATTTCAAAAACCCTAGAAATTCCCCTTCTCTTCTTGGCGCCGATAGCGACGTTGGAGCCTTGTTTCCAAAAATCAGGGGGCGGCACTAGCCGGCACCGCCCCTCTTCTCAAGTCCACGCACGTCGCCTGTGGCGACGTGCCTCGCCCAGTGCAGCAGCGACTCGCTGCTGCACCAACAGCAGCGGGGCTCGCCACTGCAAGGCGAGTCCCGCTGCAACAGCGGCAGCAGCGACTACTGCTCGTTGCAGCAGCGACTGTTGTCGCTACCCACCGCCCGCCACCACGCTGCCGGAAACCTTGCCGCCGACTTTCCCTTTTGTTTTTTTTTTTTTTTTTTTTTTTTTTTTTAAAATACATTTTTAATTTTTTTTAAAAAAAAAAAAAATATATTAAAAAAATGTGTGTGTGTGTGTGTGTCAAATTTTTAAGATGTTCTCATTAAAATCTTCCAAGATAACAAGCAAATGAAGTGCAGAAAGGAGGGATATTTTCCATATTAGATAAATCTGGGTAAAGCTACACAAAATTAGTAAATCATTTGAGACATTGCTGTACGTAAGAGGGAATAATATTGACATCCCTGAATACTAACCTAACGTCACGTCATCTATGAACATGAGAAGCCATAGAAAGAACCAGGCATCAGTTACCTGTCTCGGAAAAGTGGTGCTCCTCAACTTTATCAAAAGCGATTACATGCCTTCAGTACGTTCGCACACTTTTAACGTGTTTTGAAAGCACTGATGCTCTAAAAAAGAAATGGACCACGCAGAATCCTATCACTATTTCTCAACGGTCCAGTTTTCCATTTGAAGACCTTTTCTCCAATAGTCTCACCCTGTCGAGCAATTCTTGGATGGTATTTGATGCCTCCTGTATGAAAGGTGAATAAACATTAGGTAATTTAGACGTCAGAATATGCATTCAAAATTTGCAAGAATAAATAGAATCATAAATGGGAAGGAAAACAAACCTTCAATTTCTTTCTCAAATTTTCTTCCTCGGTATTTCGACGCTCTCGTTCTTCTGAGAATATATCAATAAAACTATCTTGTTCTTTGACCAGTTCCTGAATTTTTTGATTTGCCTCGTGTAGCTGATCAAATGGAAACAGTATATCACTTGCCAAGAAACCAGCCAAAAAAATATCTCGACTTTTCTATTCCATATTTCATTTTCCCCGCATGAAAGTCAAATGCAATCATGTGTGTAAAGAGTAGCTTGGAATGGACAGTAAAGAAACAAACTGGGAGTTGAAGTTGCCCATAAAATGTGTAGGATTTGAACTTAATATCCTTCAAACAATATGAACTAGGTTTGAAGTGGATGCCTTTTGCTTTGAGATCAGTGACTGAACGAGATTGACGATTGGGTTTGGGGTTCTCAAATTCATTGGGATTTTGTTTCCTCCGTGGCCACCATTGATATTTTTTAACAGGCCTTTTTCCTGCACTATCCAATTCCAGGTCACGATGAGTAGCAGCGACGAATTCATTTGGATTTTCCAATTCAAGGACAAGAAGTCGATAAAAAGCATCCAGAAGGTGAAATGGTTGCTTTTCACCTTGTCTAAGAATTCTTTTTAGCCTGCTATCCTTTGCAGATACGTGAATTGAGAAATCACAAATTAACGTCCATCCTTCTTCTGTGTTTCCGTATTGTATTCCATACAAAAACTTAATAAACCAAAGTGGAATTTGATTCTCGAGTAAATAAAGATCCCGTAATACCAATTGTAATGCAGGTAGTCCTAAATATATATAGAAGTTCGTAATTCTTTCTTCATCTCCCAAGGCAGACTTCATAAGATATATTGCGAAACATGTATCTAGAAGCATCATTTCTGCTAGTGCTCCACCATCATATGAATCTCTAGAAACCCCAACGTAACAATTTCTAATCTGGTCGACCACTTTAAAGATCTCACGGAGGAAGAATTCTTTGTCTTTGCCGCTGCTGGAAAAAAACGTTGTAAAGACTTCATGCTTCCATTCCTCTCCCAGGCGAAGTTCTTCCAAACCATGGTAATAAGGTCCAAAGGAAACTAACTTAGGAGTGTAGTAATCCTCTTCGTTGTGTCCTTTGAATTGCAGAACTTTGGGCACTTTACGTATTCTGCGATCGTCTCTGACTATATCTCCATCTTCAGCTTCATCTTCAAATTCTGTAATAGGATTTCTTTTATCTCTGGTGTTATTTGCTGAAAGCAGTTGGTCTCCCATTACATTCAAGAATCCGAATTTCCAATCGCTGTATGATTGCTTTATCACAGTTGATGCAAGCTGCACAGCGTTTTCCACTCTCTTAATAATTCAAATACTGGCCCTTCAGTCAAATATGACACTTTTCCGATACAGAATAAAGCAAAGCATTTGAAGTTCTATTGGATTCGAAGCAAAGCATTTCAAATACAGGCCCTTCAGACGAATATGACACTTTTCTCTCTATCACAGTTTTCCTTCTCTATGGGTATGTGGGGTAGCATCAATGGGCAGCTAAAAGTTGGCATTGAAGTTCCGAGGGAATTATGAATGAATGATAAACACAATTGTTTCTAAGAACTTTTTGTTATATTCAATAGATTAGATTCGTGTCCTTGCTCTATTGGGTTTTCCTTCTTTTCTCTAAGATGCTGATGTTTTTATCTACTTATCTTTCCATGACAGACAGAGATAATTATTTGAATTAACTTTAAACAGCTTTTTTCATACAATATTGTTTTTGGGTCCATATAGGCTCCGAATCAGGACCTAATGTATGAAAAGTTGTCTAGTAAAATTTATTTAACTAAAGTTTATAGGATGGGGTTAGGTTAAACATCATTTTTATTCACACTTTGTGAACTCATAGCTTTATTTAATATTCATCAATTCATTAGAATTTACATATTATGATCAGCAAAAAAAAAAAAAAAATGTATAAAAATAAGGGAAAGCTTATAATTTACTGTTGTAGTAATGAACTCTTGCCAAACATATACGAAAGCCCAAAATAGCATATGATTTATCAATGAGTTTTGTTACATGTACACCGGGGTTGACACTTCGGTGTACACTCCCCTCACATGGGAGATCCCAAAATTTTTTTATTGTCGTGGGGTCCATCTCCTCATGTGAGGGGAGTGTACACCGGAGTGTCAACCCCAATATATAAATAGATTTATTCTTTATCAATTACTAGATAGGTATACATATGAGGGAAAGCTTGATGCAAATTGTGCTATGCTACCAATGTCCAATCACCTGCAATGCCAGCACCCGACAAGGCTCGACAACTGCCTATGCTGGCTCCCCCAATGGGCTAATTTTTTTTTTTTTTTCAAAAATAGGGACAAACAGGTGAGGGAGGGAGAGAGATAATGGGAGAAACACCTCTATAATTTGGTCAAATCTATGTAGTCAACCGTCGTAAGCTGATAGAGATTATGTGCGTATAGAGTGAGATTGTGTGTATAGAGAATTGGTGAGCTTGTTTGAACAGGGAGACGAGAGTTTGCAGTATATATATCAAAGGGAATGTAGGTGATATGTCCAAGTTGCCCTTGGATTCGGAGTATAATTACTTTTGAATTATGATAGAACAATCTTAAGCAACAAGGAGTTCATATGTACAAGAATATCCAATAATTCACTTTTTAAAATGTATGTTTCTTGGCAGATAAGTGTGTTAATTATTCATGGTGTAGAGTTTGTTTGACACTGCTTAATTTCTAGGCAAATTATTAAATTTATCTACGAATTTCGTAAAATTCCCAATGCATTTTCACTAATTATTCACATATTTCATAAGATTCACAGCTTATAAATATTTATATATTATATTTTCATATGTATATAATTTCAGTTTTGTTAATTTAACCAACAAGGTGACATTCTGGGTGACCGAATTGCCACTTGGCAATTATGTATTGGTTGGTAGAAAAACCTTTTTTTTCACCAACCAATTGTGATTTGTCATTTGGCAATTCTGTTACCTAGGGAGTCATCATGAAAGTTACCTTAGTAAAACTCATATAATTTTTAAGTTTTAGTGCATTTATATACTGATTGAAGAATTTGTTATATTATTTAATTAAATGTTAATAAACGATGTCATCATTGCAACCGTAATGGTCAACATTCAATGATTAATGGACATCCTAACTCACCAACATTTTTGAATCCGTCACTGTATCTAGTACAGCTCATAAATAAAGAGCTATATGCAACCTTTAACCTCATTAGATCAACCCATACGATAAGAATGAAGTACAAAATTCCAATTTCTATTAGAAGATGCTTTTAATTATTGGAGTACAATATTTCATGACCTAAAAAGATCATAGTTCACTAAATTTAATATATCTTAACATAATATAATAGAGGTACGATAGTAACAACTTAATTCTTTACTTACAACGTAGATAAGCGAAAGAAACACATGCACGTACAACAGTAACAACTACAGTAAATAGAGGCTCAGCCTGGACAGCAATTAATTGCAGTTCATCCAGAACTCTATTTGGCACAGTTTGCAAGGTCCAACCCGGTTCAACCCCATTTGCTATTTTTACTTTTATTTTTATTTTTGAGTTTTCGTCATCAATTTTGACTCTTTCTTAATCACAACTCTCAAAATTCTTTGACCAATATAAATAAAAAGTGTTTTAAGTCATAAAAAGGGGGTTGTACCATGGGGAGGAAAAGAAAAAGAAGAGAGAGAGAGAGAGAGAGAGAGAGAGAGCTACAGAGAAAATGGAGAGAAAAATCATAACAAAAATAAAGAAAACTTGGGTTTGAAGATTCGGCTTAGGCGAAACCTAGCCCAACCTATTGTATTTTTATTATTCCGTGATGTATAATCTTATTTAATTATTTTGTCTTTTACTTTCATTTCATCCCTTCTTATTCCTATCTTCTTGCCATCTTAACCTTTTTCTTCGAAAAAGAGAAGGAATAAAAAAAAGAAGACCAATCAAGCTTTAGAATATCTGAAATGAAATTATTTTTTTTTTCCTTTATCTAATTTGGTATGATATGTCATATGTGTCTATCTCTCCATCAATTTCAAATTTGAAATCCCTTCCTAAATTTGTCAAGGAAATGCATTGAGTATAAAAATTCAAAAGAAAGTAAGAAATCCAGAATTTAATTTAACATTAATAATTAGGAATCCGAATTCCACAAACTCGATGATGTACTCTAATTTTTCTTGTATTTTTATAATCTCTCCCTTAATTGTTATGTCTTTTACTTTCATTTCATCCCTACTAATTTATGTCTTCTTGCCTCTTAAAAAAGAGAAGGAATTAAAAAAAGGGACCAATCACCTAAAAAAAATCAAAAATCAAAAATCAAAAATTGAAACTGATCACATCAAAAAAAAAAAATCAAAAATCAAAATTTTAATATCATTTTTTTAAAAGTATTTGAAGTAATTAATATGGTCAAGAAAATGCATTGAGTTTTAAAATTTGAAAGAAAATTAAAAAAAAATCCAAAATTTAATTTTACGTTAATAATTAGGAATCCAAATCCCACAAACCCGATGATTATTCTTCCAAGATGTATATCTTTCCTTTAATTGTTATGGCTTATTTTCATTTCCTCCTTTCTTATTCTTATTTTCTTACCTTCTAAACCTTTTCATTGACAAAGTGAAGGAATAAAAAAAAAAAAAAAGAGAGACCCATAAAATTCAAAGGAAAAGTTGCAAATGGGCCTTGCTTACTTTAATTTGAAGGTAATTTTGGTAAATACTTGTAATAAGCACGTGCATTGCACCTCTTATGTATTGGATGAATGATATGTTTAATTTTTTTGAAGTAATAATATTATTTTTGAAAGTATAGTTGAAATAATTTAATATTGTTAAAGGAAGAATTAATATGGGGATGAAGGAAAAAATTGTGGAATAACTGGCGTAAAACGTTTGGAATAAAGGAAATATTTGTTTTTATTCAGATAAAGGACGAAACGGAAGGAAGGGAGTTTAAAAATTCAAAAGAAAATAAAAGTTACAAATGAGCAATTCATACTTACTCACAGGCCATATTTCTAAATATTTGTGGAAGTGTGTGCGTTGCTGCACATCTTATATATTGGATAAATGATATGTATAATATTATTTAAGTAGTAATAATGTTTTTGAAAGTGATTGAAGTAATTAATATCTGTAAAGGAAAAATTAAAAGAGGGATAAAGG